GGGCCAGTTGAGGTTAGAATTTAAATGTCACAACTGAAGTGGGCCAGTTGAAGTTAGAATGTAAATGTCACAACTGAAGTGGGGCCAGTTGAGGTTAGAATTTAAATGTCACAACTGAAGTGGGCCAGTTGATGTTAGAATTTAAATGTCACAACTGAAGTGGGCCAGTTGAGGTTAGAATTTAAAGGTCACAACTGAAGTGGGCCAGTTGAGGTTAGAATGTAAATGTCACAACTGAAGTGGGCCAGTTGATGTTAGAATGTAAATGTCACAACTGAAGTGGGCCAGTTGAGGTTAGAATGTAAATCACAACTGAAGTGGGCCAGTTTGAGGTTGAATGTAAATGTCACAACTGAAGTGGGCCAGTTGATGTTAGAATGTAAATGTCACAACTGAAGTGGGCCAGTTGAGGTTAGAATGTAAATGTCACAACTGAAGTGGGCCAGTTGATGTTAGAATTGAAATGTCACAACTGAAGTGGGCCAGTTGAGGTTAGAATGTAAATGTCACAACTGAAGTGGGCCAGTTGATGTTAGAATGTAAATGTCACAACTGAAGTGGGCCAGTTGAGGTTAGAATGTAAATGTCACAACTGAAGTGGGCCAGTTGATGTTAGAATGTAAATGTCACAACTGAAGTGGGCCAGTTGATGTTAGAATGTAAATGTCACAACTGAAGTGGGCCAGTTGATGTTAGAATGTAAATGTCACAACTGAAGTGGGCCAGTTGAGGTTAGAATGTAAATGTCACAACTGAAGTGGGCCAGTTGAGGTTAGAATGTAAATGTCACAACTGAAGTGGGCCAGTTGATGTTAGAATGTAAATGTCACAACTGAAGTGGGCCAGTTGAGGTTAGAATGTAAATGTCACAACTGAAGTGGGCCAGTTGAGGTTAGAATGTAAATGTCACAACTGAGTGGGCCAGTTGATGTTAGAATGTAAATGTCACAACTGAAGTGGGCCAGTTGATGTTAGAATGTAAATGTCACAACTGAAGTGGGCCAGTTGAGGTTAGAATGTAAATGTCACAACTGAAGTGGGCCAGTTGAGGTTAGAATGTAAATGTCACAACTGAAGTGGGCCAGTTGAGGTTAGAATGTAAATGTCACACCTGAAGTGGGCCAGTTGATGTTAGAATTGAAATGTCACAACTGAAGTGGGCCAGTTGATGTTAGAATGTAAATGTCACAACTGAAGTGGGCCAGTTGATGTTAGAATGTAAATGTCACAACTGAAGTGGGCCAGTTGAGGTTAGAATTGAAATGTCACAACTGAGGGCAGGATGTAGAAGTAATGTCACAACTGAAGGTGGGCCAGTTGAGGTTAGAAATGTAAATGTCACAAACTGAACAGTGGGCCAGTTTGATGTTAGAATGTAAATGTCACAACTGAAGTGGGGCCAGTTTGATGTTAGAATGTGTAAATGTCACAAACTGAAGTGGGCCAGTGGAGGTTAGATGTGAAATGTCAACAACTGAGTGGGCCAGTTGATGTTAGACTGTAAATGTAACACCTGCAGTGTGGCCAGTTGAGGTTAGAATTTAAAATGTCACAACTGGAAGTGGGCCAGTTTGATGTTAGAATGTAAATGTCACAAACTGAAGTGGGCCAGGTTGATGTTAGAATGAAATGTCACAACTGAAGTGGGCCAGTTGAGGTTAGAATTTAAATGTCACAACTGAAGTGGGCCAGTTGAGGTTAGAATGTAAATGTCACAACTGAAGTGGGCCAGTTGATGTTAGAATTTAAATGTCACAACTGAAGTGGGCCAGTTGAGGTTAGAATGTAAATGTCACACCTGAAGTGGGCCAGTTGAGGTTAGAATTTAAATGTCACAACTGAAGTGGGCCAGTTGATGTTAGAATGTAAATGTCACAACTGAAGTGGGTCAGTTGAGGTTAGAATGTAAATGTCACACCTGAAGTGGGCCAGTTGAGGTTAGAATGTAAATGTCACAACTGAAGTGGGCCAGTTGATGTTAGAATGTAAATGTCACACCTGAAGTGGGCCAGTTGAGGTTAGAATGTAAATGTCACAACTGAAGTGGGCCAGTTGAGGTTAGAATGTAAATGTCACAACTGAAGTGGGCCAGTTGAGGTTAGAATTGAAATGTCACAACTGAAGTGGGCCAGTTGATGTTAGAATTTAAATGTCACAACTGAAGTGGGCCAGTTGAGGTTAGAATTTAAATGTCACAACTGAAGTGGGCCAGTTGATGTTAGAATGTAAATGTCACAACTGAAGTGGGCCAGTTGAAGTTAGAATGTCAATGTCACAACTGAAGTGGGCCAGTTGAGGTTAGAATTTAAATGTCACAACTGAAGTGGGCCAGTTGAGGTTAGAATGTAAATGTCACAACTGAAGTGGGCCAGGTTAGATTTAAATGTCACACCTGAGTGGGGCCTTTTATTTTAGATGTGATTCCGACTGAAGTGGGCCAGTTGAGGTTAGGAATGTGAAATGTCACAACTGAAGTGGGCCAGTTCGAGGTTAGAATGTAATGTCACAACTGAAGTGGGCCAGTTTGATGTTAGAATGTAATGTCACAACTGAAGTGGGCCAGTTGATGTTAGAATTGTAAATGTCACAACTGAAGTGGGCCAGTTGATGTTATGTATTGGTCCCAGTTTGATGTTGAATTGAATGTCACCACTGAAGTGGGCCAGTTATGTTAGAATTTAAATGTCACAACTGAAGTGGGCCAGTTGATGTTTAGAATGTAAATGTCACAACTGAAGTGGGCCAGTTGATGTTAGAATTTAAATGTCACAACTGAAGTGGGCCAGTTGATGTTAGAATTTAAATGTCACAACTGAAGTGGGCCAGTTGAGGTTAGAATTTAAATGTCACAACTGAAGTGGGCCAGTTGAGGTTAGAATTTAAATGTCACAACTGAAGTGGGCCAGTTGAGGTTAGAATTTAAATGTCACAACTGAAGTGGGCCAGTTGAGGTTAGAATTTAAATGTCACAACTGAAGTGGGCCAGTTGAGGTTAGAATTTAAATGTCACAACTGAAGTGGGCCAGTTGATGTTAGAATGTAAATGTCACAACTGAAGTGGGCCAGTTGATGTTAGAATTTAAAGGTCACAACTGAAGTGGGCCAGTTGAGGTTAGAATGTAAATGTCACAACTGAAGTGGGCCAGTTGAGGTTAGAATGTAAATGTCACAAACTGAAGTGGGCCAGTTGAGGTTAGAATGTAATGTCACAAACTGAAGTGGGCCAGTTGATGTTAGAATGTAAATGTCACAACTGAAGTGGGCCAGTTGAGGTTAGAATGTAAATGTCACAACTGAAGTGGGCCAGTTGGAGTTAGAAATGTAAATGTCACAACTGAAGTGGGCCAGTTGAGGTTAGAATGTAAATGTCACAACTGAAGTGGGCCAGTTGATGTTAGAATGTAAATGTCACAACTGAAGTGGGCCAGTTGAGGTTAGAATTGAAATGTCACAACTGAAGTGGGCCAGTTGATGTTAGAATGTAAATGTCACAACTGAAGTGGGCCAGTTGAGGTTAGAATTGAAATGTCACACCTGAAGTGGGCCAGTTGATGTTAGAATTGAAAGTTCACAACTGAAGTGGGCCAGTTGATGTTAGAATGTAAATGTCACAACTGAAGTGGGCCAGTTGAGGTTAGAATGTAAATGTCACAACTGAAGTGGGCCAGTTGAGGTTCGGGATCGCTTAAACGGATTTAGTGCGTCATCTGAATTGAAACAGAAGTTAATTGAACCTGGTTCTTCAGGAGTTAATAGAGGTGAGACCTTGCTGATCCAGGAGGATCTGAGTCTGGCAGTAAACTTACATAGACTCAATAGCTTCTGTTAGGTCAATTAGTAGGTCTAAGTAATTGCCGGAATAAATTAACAGGCCTCCCGACTCCAACAATATCATAAACGTTTGTTTGACACAGAGATTATTTTCTGACATAATCCAAAATCCCATGGAGGAATCCCATTGGACCAGGGGATGCTGCATTCAGGGACATACACAGAAATACAACATCCCTGCACCTCTCTATACTGCCAAAGATGGCTTAATGCAACTATAGACACATTAGAACATGGGTAAATACCATCATTACATATAGTAAACCATAAAAAAGGACTTTAAAACCTAATTTCTGAAAATCAAATTACCAAATGAGTTAATTTTGACTGTTTAGCTAAATATTTCCATCCCTCCAGATGAGTGTTGCGTACCTTTGAGGAGGAGAGGACGATGCTTTTGACGATCTGAGGCTGAGTGAAGACCTGAATCTCCTCAATCACCCGAGGTCCTCCAGCCAGCAAAACCACTTTGTGGAGGAACCCGGACTCTGCAGGACCAGAGAGGACGAACACGGTATTATCAAAACATTTAGATAGAACAACTGATCAGAATCAGGGACAGGTTTGTTGCCAAGTAGGTTTACACCAACGAGGAACTTGCCTTGGTGAGTATCCTGTCTTGTAAGCATATATTCCTGCTATTGACTGCAGTATTTTTGACTTTTTTTAGAACATCTTAGTCATCCAGAAGTTCTGTACTGTTATATTTGATTTAATATTTTTCATTTTATTTTTACTTTACATTTTTAGTTGTTAATTCTCTATTCCACTTTTTTAAGTATTTTAATTGTAATGAACACACTGATGATGCTTCTGTAACTAAATAATTTCCCAAATTGGGATAAATAAAGTATATATCTATCTATATTTATATATCTATCTATATTTATATATCTATCTATGGTGCGTAGATAAACACACTAAAAGACGCACAATTTGTTCCCCCGTTTTTAGAGATGTGGGTACGGAGGAAAAGAGAGAGGGCTTTATTTCCTGACACTTTGTGAGTCTCCGGCACACCGGGGACACATATCCAGGGGTGGTTCTAAGGGGGGCCAACAGAGGCCAGTGCCCCCTAACGCTGACCAGGGACTCCACTCCAAAAAAAAAGGTTACAATATTACGATTTCTTGGAACTAAATCAAATCAGAGACCCGGATGTACAGTAGAGATTAAACTGTTCATTACCTTATAAAAGAAAATAATAATAATATGTATGTTTTTTAATTAAATTGTAACTTAAATTTCCAAAAACAAATACCAATTACTGTATTTCATGTTTATTTTACACAATTACTTTATACTCTCTTTGTCTTTTTAACCCGCTCTTATTGTGCCCCTCTCATGTAATAACCGGTCCCAGCCTGCCACCCCCCCCCCCAGTCAAATTGGTCTAGAACCGCCACTGCACATATTTATGTATAAAAGACATGCATTTTGCATGATGGGAGACCTTTAAAGTATAGAGGCAGCATAGAGGAGTGTAAGGAGGGCTGAGGGTCGCCCCAGCTGTTCACCTGTCAGCAGGAACAGGACGGTGTATTGTTTGCCGTTGAGGGCCTTCGTCCTCATCGCCGCCACGCGACTGTACCGCTGATCTGAAGAAACGAGCGGAGCGCCGGCCGACTTCACGCTGCCGCTCGTCAGGAAACTCTTCTTCACTTGAGATAATTCAGAATCTGTAGCGCTGTCCAGCCCACACTGTCAGCAGGACATGGAGGGGGGGTCACACGTTAACATTATCGTAGAAATGTATCACAAGTTCAAATTCAAAGGTTTTATCATCATATGCACATAAGCTACAGTGTAGGAATGGCAATGACATTCTTCTGACCTGAGCTCCTCCAACAATGCAACATATAATAAAATACAAAAATAGAAAATCCAAAATAAAAAATAAAAAATTGTGCAAAAAGTCTATATACATGTAAATAGAATATGATATGTACAAGAACAGACTATGACATTAATGACTTATGACCAAATTAAATACGGTTTATTGCGGTGACACCTATTTATATACATAAGTAGATTAGGTTAGGTTATAAGTAGATTGCAAGATGACTAACAGATGAATGTTTATTGAGGCACTTCACAGAGCTCAGGTGTTTAACAGTCGTATGGCCTGTGGGATGAAACTATCCCTGAGTCTGGAGGTTTGTGTCCGGATGCAATTTCTGTGATTTCTCACAGTTTAAATTCACGCCTAGCTACTAAATGTTCTCAGACAGAAGGGTGGACTATTGTCAGGAAATTATCCTATTGATCTTAGGTTTGTAATCACCATCTTCGCAAGTTTCGCCCGTCTGGCCAACATTTCAATGGCCTCTAAGACCTCCCCCCTTTTGTCTTTTTCCTGTATAAAGTGCTTGTTTTTCTGTAACGGGGTCAGATCTTTGAGCTACATCAGAGGTGCAGGTTATCTGACCTTCCAGCTGGAAATAGATTGATCCTGTTAACCTGTTAAGCCCTGAGCCTGTTTTTCAGGTCTCAGGCTCGAAAACAAATGACTATAACTTAATCATCTTTTTTCTCAAAGCAATGATAAACCTGTCAGTTGGATGTAGAAATCAATATAGATTTTTTTTATTTTAACACTAGAACCGCCAACGGGGTCAATTTGACCCAGAGCTGTTTTTTATTGTATGTAACTTTTTTTCAATAACATATTAAAGTCTCTCAGTCCGTGACTTTTCCTGAAAGTGTGTTATGTAGCACCCTCTGTTGTTAAAAATTGTCAATATGAAGTCAGATTGAAGAAATCGGCAAAAGAATTGCCATTTATACCTATTTCCGCTAAGCGGGTCATATTGACCCCACCCCTTTTCGCGCTATTGATTTTGCGTGTAAAAAAACATGCCGTGTTGCTATAGCAACGCCTTTTGTCTACTGCAGTTCCTTATAGATTGAGAGATAGATTGAGAGAGAGAGAGATAGATTGATAGCGAGAGTCTGTAGTGAAGGAGCGCGCTCCGCAGCAAACAGCTGTTTGCTTTTCACCCAACAACGAGAACTGCCTCACGAAACCCTGTGTTGTAAATAAACGAAACAATTTAACAAAATTGCTTGTCAAAATACCAATACCACAGGACCATTTTTCTTTGTACAGCAATACTTTTACTTTGAAAATCAATGCATTCTAATGCTGGGTCAATTTGACCCCGGTGGCGGTTCTAGTGTTAAAGTAAATTCAGATTGAACACAGTAAAAACATGTAAATGATTGTGTCTGTCCAAAAACAAAAACATGACTTATAGTGAAAACCACCTTGAATGATGGGATAATAGACTAAAAGCTTTGGGAATCCAAACTATAACATATAATAAGTACCCTGTATCAAGATTGATGCAAAACAAGTGACCTTTGACCTTTTTAGTGAGATTTAGAAAAATAAAATCACTTCTGAGGTCATTTGGGTGGATTTGCCAGATCTCTGGAACCCATCGGGTGCTAATTCAGAGGCTTGGTATTACCCTTGTGTTTTGTTTAGCTAAAAACGGTTCATATCGTCAGTTAGCTGAGTTTCTTCCCGTTATGACACATTAATAGGTTGTTAAATGTTAAGAAGCCCTGAGACACAGTTTCGTGAAAAAAAGCCCGCCGGCGGGGGCTGTCGGGCTTAACAGGTTAAATGCTACAGCTTTTTATTAAATAACTCAACTTTGGTTTAATCTTGTATTTGTTATTTTCTGACCAGAAGGTACGGAGCCCCTAAAGGGACATGAAAATAGAGAGAGAACAAAAAGTTACCGGTGCGCCGAAACTAATCCGTTTTCCTGACTTTATTTTTTTTCTCATTTATTTTTTGTATGTCTCTTAAACCGTTATGCCGACTTTTTTTTATTTTCTTTTTTTCCATGTCCCTTTAGGCCAGAGTTTCTCAAACCTTTTCATACCAAGGACCAATTAACCAATACAAAAACACTTGCGGACCACCTAACTCCACAAATATAAAAAAACACATCGTTTTTCTAGAACAGATTACAAATCGCCTGAAAATGGTACAAACAAGTGGCAGCATGTGATGAAGCTGTTTATCTGGGCTTTGTCATGCAACTGAAACTTAAGCTCGCTCCATTGCGGAGATATTCCCGCGAGAGTGCGGAAAACTTAAATGTATTTATTCATTTCAAATATGAAATGTTACCAATATACTCACGGACCACTAGGGGGCGCTCACGGACCACCAGTGTTCCGCGGACCACACTTTGAGAAGCACTGCTTTAGGGGCTCCGTAAGAAGGTAATTAAGTGTGGAGTTTCCACCTCAGAATCTCTAAGAACAGAAGCAGGCCCAGATTCAAACCCGATGGCCGTTTCTTTGGTTTTTGTCAAGGAACCACATTTAGTTGATTCATTAGTTTGGATCCTGGCTTTGACTCGTGTGCCAGTAACGTCCTCACCTGTCCCAGATGTGAGTGTTTTCCCAGCAGGGGGCTCCACAGGTGTGTTTGTGTGTCGAAGGTCCGGTAGCTTCCATTAAACACCGCCTGGACGTCCTGCAGCTTAAAGACGCAAACCGCTGACTCTGCCCCCGAAGACCTGAAGCAGACGGGAGGGAGAACTGAGAGGCTTCATCTCAGACATAACGACGATACGATAACACTTTAATGGTCAGATCAAGTCTGAAATGCTGCTTGCGTCACAGCAGCTCCATGAGGAACATCAACAGACAGACACCAAGACTCGTGAGAAACATGTAACATCACAGCAGGACCAGTGAGAGAGAACAGGCTTCTTTCTATTGAGATGTTTACATGTTGGATCGTTTCTTTCCAGTCTTCTAATCTCTCTAATTGAACAACCTGGTCTTCTCAAGCTGCTGCAACGCAAACATTTCACAAATTGGGATCAATAAAGTACTTCTTATCTTATCTTATGTACCTTCTGCTGACATTGTGAGTTTTGGACTTTGAAAGTTAGTAAATAAGCAGAGCGAGAATAAGGAAGGGAAATCCAACATATCCACTTCCTCCCAAAAGCAGAAGAGGTGATAGTGACTGCCTGATCTGCGCTGCGAGAGTTCGCTCCTGTTGGACCGCTGCGTACAGCAAGAGGGACATTTGACGTCCGTACTAATAACACAGTTTTGTGTTGAATCAACTTTGTTTGATGAAAAGTCATTTCCCTTTTCCTGGAATCTCAACAGAGAACGTTTGGCCAGACTGACACATTTCTAATGCTAAATAAATGAAAACCATTCACAGTTAAGAATGAGATATTAAACCATTCACAGTTAACAATGAGATATTAAACCATTCACAGTTAACAATGAGATCTTAAACTATTCACAGTTAACAATGAGATATTAAACCATTCACAGTTAACAATGAGATATTAAACCATTCACAGTTAAGAATGAGATATTAAACCATTCACAGTTAACAATGAGATATTAAACCATTCACAGTTAACAATGAGATATTAAACCATTCACAGTTAACAATGAGATATTAAACCATTCACAGTTAAGAATGAGATATTAAACCATTCACAGTTAAGAATGAGATATTAATGATGAATGCCATAAATAATTGCATACATTTAGTTTCTTATGTATCCAGTGTGATAGCTAACTGAAGCTAAATCCATGTCTCTTATTATAAGAGCGATCTTAACCCACTAAAAGGATTTCTTCTCAAATAATGGGGAAATTACAATAACTTTAAGGCTCTCTCGTTCAGATTAATGTGATCGGGTTGTTTTTCTTCTTTGTGTCAGATGCCCTGCTGAACATAACGGTCCAACAAGGAGGACCAACTCGAGCTTGCAGTGTGAACATCGGGCAGAAACAGTGATCCACCGCTGGCACCGTACCACTGCGAGGTGAAGACGCCGTAGAACAGCGTCTCTGAGGAGCTGGCGCCCTCCGGTGGTGGGAGGGTGAAGATGTGCTGCAGGACGTTGAAGGGAAGCTGTTTGGGAACCTGGCAGAGCAGCGGCGCTTTAGCGAAGGACGTCCACTTATTCTGGAGAGTCCGCTGCCCCCCCCACATCGTCCTGTGGAGACAACGCAACAACGTGTTATACACTCAGATATATCTGAACCCAGAAGAACCCGGACCCTTTTATACTTTTGGGGAAATGATGCGGAACATAATTTAGACTTAATAATAGACCACATCGAACAAGTAACCCCCCTTAGAGATCTGAAAACTTACATATATGTCACATTGGGCGTCAATGGTAAAGTAATGCTTATTAATAACTTAATTAATGAGGATTGTTTTTTGGTTTAAATTTGGTTTAACATTCTTTTAATTGAAGAATATACGAAGTAACATGTTACACATTTATATATCTTTAAGTGGTGTCACTCGATTCAAACACATCCCTGTAGCTATTTTTCAGAATACTTTTTTTTTCTCCTTCAAAATCCTGACTTTTTTCAGAATTCCGAAAATATTCTCAACATTCTGAGTTTTTCAAGAAATATATATTTTTTCTAAAAATTATGACATTTTTCAAAATCCCGAATCCCGGGACTCAATAATAAAAAGACACGACAGACAAGAAAATATACAAATAAAACGATTTAAAATACAACAAAATACCATAACATGTAAGACAATCTTGCACTAATGTACATTCTCTTCAAGATATTGAAGGGACTGTTATTTTGTATTTATTGATTGTTGTGTTTTTATTTATGTCTTAATGTGTGCATATGTAAAAATATATAGGATATACTTATTTGCACGCATATTTTTATATATATTTGTTTTTATATTCTGGATTGTGGGAAAGATATTTCGATCTCTACACACAAACTGAAAGATTGACAATAAAGTTGGCTTTGACTTTGACTCCGGAGGATGTGGCGTAATCTCAAAGCAGCTCCATTATATATATTCATATTTTCCGTCACCTTGCAGACTTGAGCGACGCGAGCGATCCGCAGCTCGTCCACAAAGCTGAACTCTTTCCCGACTTCAGTGAAGAAGAAGAACAGCTTCCTGTCCACCGCCGCTGAGCCCACGAACGCCGGCTCTGAAACAGGAAGTACAATTATTTTTAATTTTTTCAATATTTTACATATTTAATAAATCTACAAAACTTTTTTTTCAGAATACATTTCTTCTCTCAAATTCTGACTTTTTTCTCCAATTTCTGACTTTTTCTCTACATGAGAGAAACAAGCGTCACTTCCGGGCAGAAAGTACGGCTCCGCCCACTTTTGGGGGAAAACAAAGCTGTCATTTGAACGGCGGTCGATACACATTCTGAAGTTTTTGCCAATCCGATCAGAAATGTTTGAAAACCGTGGATTTGTGATCTTCAAAGAGTCCCGATCACGATGGCCAAACTATTACATTCAATCATTGGAAATCGACGAGCGGGCTCGATGTATGGTTAAATATAGCAGCAGGCGATCGATGTCCATAGATGAGAGTAACATCTACGTCACTTTACGGCCCCGCCCACTATTTGGGGGAAACAACGCTGTCATGTGAACGGCGATCGAGCCTGAAGCCACAGAGCTCTTCTTTGTCCTTTGTTCTCAGAGGAAGTTCAGAAACACTGAACTCTGGATCTGTTTGAATGTTTGAGGAGCAATAAACCACACAGCAGCTTGTTGGCGTGTTATAACTATGATGTTCCGCCTCGCTCATGAGAGGAACAGCCTCGCCTACTGATTTTAATGTAACCATATATCGAGCCCGATCGTTGATTTCCAATGATTGAATGTAATAGTTTGCCCGTCTGGCCATCGTGATCGGACTCTTTGAAGATCCACAAACCCACGGTTTTCAAAATGTCTGATCGATTGGCTAAAACTTCAGAATGTGTATCGACCGCCATTCAAATGACAGCGTTGTTTTCCCCCAAAAGTGTTCCGTATTTATCGCCCGGAAGTGACGCAGGTGTTACTCTCATCCATACCGATTCTTGTTTTAGAATAAATATTTTCTTTCCTCAGAATTCGATATTTTTCCAAGATTTTCAAGAAATCCGTTTTGTTCTCTTCATATTCTACAACTTTTCCAATTTGGGATTATTTTCAGAATTCAGGGTTTATTTCTCAAAATTCTGACTTTTTCAAGAAATCCGTTATTTTCTCAAAATCCTGATTTTTTTTCCTCAAAATTCAGTTTTCTTCTTAGAATCCCATATTTGTTCAGATTACTACTTTAGTCACAGGATTATTTTTTCACGTTGTGAGTTGGGACTTTTTTCATTTCAATTGAAACCTCAGTTTATGGGATAGCCGGATTTTTGTTCAGCTTGACATTTAAAATACGCAGAGTTTGTAGAAACAGGATGTAAAGAAACACAGAAGTGAGACGTTCTTCCAGACATCGTATGTTTGGCTAAAAGAGGAAGTGAATTATCGTTGACAGGAAACAGGAAGTTGAGCTGTCTGAAACCTCTCGTCTTTAAAATCAGCATTCTATTAAACAAACCTCAACAACTCAAACTTATTATTGTTATTATAATTATTTACTAATGTAATTATTTATTTATTGTTTCAACTTTACAAATATTATTATTGCTATTTTGTTATTATTATAGTTTACATTTATTTGTATATTTATTTAACTTATTAGTTTTATTATAATTTTGTTATAATAATTATAATGTGTTCTTATTATTATTGTATTTATTATTATAATAATACGTATTATTATTATAATTGTTATTATTATATTTATTATTATTATTATCATCATTATTATAATAATTGACATTATGTATTATTATTATTATTATTATAATTGTTATTATTATATTATTTATTATTATTATTATAATAATTGTTATTATTATATTATTTATTATTATTATTATTATTATTATAATAATTGTTATTATTATTTGTATTATTCAGAATCAGAATACCTTTATTCGTAAAGTATACAAATATTAAAGATTAAAACAAATTTAAGAAATTACACAATTGACAAAATACACATCCTGTTACAGTTATTGTTGTTGTTGTTGTTGTTGTTGTTGTTATTTGTGCTGCCTCTCACCCTGCAGCAGGGCGATGGAGGTGTCCTGGCTGACGTCCTGCCCCCCCCGGCTGAAGTGTCTGGAGATCTGAGCTCGTTCTCCTCTGAAGTCGGTGGTCGAGGCGGTGAAGAGCTCTCCGTCTGCGCAGAGAACAACAATACGTTTAATATGACCTCAAATCAACTTTGATTTCATGAAGCATCTCTAACCTGCATCAGAGAGCAGAGGCCTGGACCACCAAGCCGGTTCCACCTGCATCAGAGAGCAGAGGCCTGGACCACCAAGCCGGTTCCACCCAACCTGCATCAGAGTGCAGAGGCCTGGACCACCAAGCCGGTTCCACCTGCATCAGAGAGCAGAGGCCTGGACCACCAAGCCGGTTCCACCTGCATCAGAGAGCAGAGGCCTGGACCACCAAGCCGGTTCCACCTGCATCAGAGAGCAGAGGCCTGGACCACCAAGCCGGTTCCACCTGCATCAGAGAGCAGAGGCCTGGACCACCAAGCCGGTTCCACCTGCATCAGAGAGCAGAGGCCTGGACCACCAAGCTGGTTCCACCTGCATCAGAGAGCAGAGGCCTGGACCACCAAGCCGGTTCCACCTGCATCAGAGAGCAGAGGCCTGGACCACCAAGCCGGATCCACCTGCATCAGAGAGCAGAGGCCTGGACCACCAAGCCGGTTCCACCTGCATCAGAGAGCAGAGGCCTGGACCACCAAGCCGGTTCCACCTACATCAGAGAGCAGAGGCCTGGACCACCAAGCCGGTTCCACCTGCATCAGAGAGTAGAGGCCTGGACCACCAAGCCGGTTCCACCTGCATCAGAGAGCAGAGGCCTGGACCACCAAGCCGGTTCCACCTGCATCAGAGAGCAGAGGCCTGGACCACCAAGCCGGTTCCACCTAACCTGCATCAGAGAGCAGAAGCCTGGACCACCAAGCCGCTTCCACCTAACCTGCATTTGAGAGCAGAGGCCTGGACCACCAAGCCGGTTCCACCTAACCTGCATCAGAGAGCAGAGGCCTGGACCACCAAGCCGGTTCCACCTAACCTGCATCAGAGAGCAGAGGCCTGGACCACCAAGCCGCTTCCACCTAACCTGCATCAGAGAGCAGAGGCCTGGACCACCAAGCCGGTTCCACCTAACCTGCATCAGAGAGCAGAGGCCTGGACCACTAAGCCGGTTCCACCTAACCTGCATCAGAGAGCAGAGGCCTGGACCACCAAGCCGGTTCCACCTAACCTGCATCAGAGAGCAGAGGCCTGGACCACCAAGCCGCTTCCACCTAACCTGCATCAGAGAGCAGAGGCCTGGACCACCAAGCCGGTTCCACCTAAACTGCATCAGAGAGCAGATGGCCTGGACCACCAAGCCGGTTTCCACCCAACCTGCATCAGAGAGCAGAGGCCTGGACCACCAAGCCGGTTCCACCTAACCTGCATCAGAGAGCAGAGGCCTGGACCACCAAGCCGGTTCCACCTAACCTGCATCAGAGAGCAGAGGCCTGGACCACAAGCCGGTTCCACCCAACCTGCATCAGAGAGCAGAGGCCTGGACCACCAAGCCGCTTCCACCCAACCTGCATCAGAGAGTAGAGGCCTGGGCCACCAAGCCGGTTCCACCTAACCTGCATCAGAGAGCAGAGGCCTGGACCACCAAGCCACTTCCACCTAACCTGCATCAGAGAGCAGAGGCCTGGACCACCAAGCCGGTTCCACCTAACCTGCATCAGAGAGCAGAGGCCTGGACCACCAAGCCGGTTCCACCCAACCTGCATCAGAGAGCAGAGGCCTGGACCACCAAGCCGCTTCCACCAACCTGCAATCAGAGAGTAGAGGCCTGGGCCACCAAGCCGGTTCCACCTAACCTGCATCAGAGAGCAGAGGCCCTGGACCACCAAGCCACTTCCACCTAACCTGCATCAGAGAGCAGAGGCCTGGACCACCAAGCCGGTTCCACCTAACCTGCATCAGAGAGCAGAGGCCTGGACCACCAAGCCGGTTCCACCTAACCTGCATCAGAGAGCAGAGGCGTGGACCACCAAGCCGCTTCCCACCTAACCTGCATCAGAGAGCAGAGCCTGGACCACCAAGCCGGTTCCACCTAACATGCATCAGAGAGCAGAGGCCTGGACCACCAAGCCGGTTCCACCTAACCTGCATCAGAGAGCAGAGGCCTGGACCACCAAGCCGCTTCCCACCTAACCTGCATCAGAGAGCAGAGGCCTGGACCACCAAGCCGGTTCCACCTAACCTGCATCAGAGAGCAGAGGCCTGGACCACCAAGCCGGTTCACCTAACCTGCATCAGAGAGCAGAGGCCTGGACCACCAAGCCGGTTCCACCTAACCTGCATCAGAGAGCAGAGGCCTAGACCACCAAGCCGGTTCCACCTAACCTGCATCAGGGAGCAGAGGCCTGGACCACCAAGCCGGTTCCACCTAACCTGCATCAGAGAGCAGAGGCCTGGACCACCAAGCCGGTTCCACCTAACCTGCATCAGGGAGCAGAGGCCTGGACCACCAAGCCGGTTCCACCTAACCTGCATCAGGGAGCAGAGGCCTGGACCACCAAGCCGGTTCCACCTAACCTGCATCAGAGAGCAGAGGCCTGGACCACCAAGCCGGTTCCACCTAACCTGCATCAGAGAGCAGAGGCCTGGACCACCAAGCCGGTTCCACCCAACCTGCATCAGAGAGCAGAGGCCTGGACCACCAAGCCGGTTCCACCCAACCTGCATCAGAGAGCAGAGGCCTGGACCACCAAGCCGGTTCCACCTAACCTGCATCAGAGAGCAGAGGCCTGGACCACCAAGCCGGTTCCACCCAACCTGCATCAGAGAGCAGAGGCCTGGACGACCAAGCCGCTTCCACCCAACCTGCATCAGAGAGCAGAGGCCTGGGCCACCAAGCCGGTTCCACCTAACCTGCATCAGCGAGCAGAAGCCTGGACCACCAAGCCGCTTCCACCTAACCTGCATCAGAGAGCAGAGGCCTGGACCACCAAGCCGGTTCCACCTAACCTGCATCAGAGAGCAGAGGCCTGGACCACCAAGCCGGTTCCACCTAACCTGCATCAGAGAGCAGAGGCCTGGACCACCAAGCCGCTTCCACCTAACCTGCATCAGAGAGCAGAGGCCTGGACCACCAAGCCGGTTCCACCTAACCTGCATCAGAGAGCAGAGGCCTGGACCACCAAGCCGCTTCCACCTAACCTGCATCAGAGAGCAGAGGCCTGGACCACCAAGCCGGTTCCACCTAACCTGCATCAGAGAGCAGAGGCCTGGACCACCAAGCCGGTTCCACCTAACCTGCATCAGAGAGCAGAGGCCTGGACCACCAAGCCGGTTCACCTAACCTGCATCAGAGAGCAGAGGCCTGGACCACCAAGCCGGTTCCACCTAACCTGCATCAGAGAGCAGAGGCCTGGACCACCAAGCCGGTTCCACCTAACCTGCATCAGAGAGCAGAGGCCTGGACCACCAAGCCGGTTCCAACCTAACCTGCATCAGAGAGCAGAGGCCTGGACCACCAAGCCGGTTCCACCTAACCTGCATCAGAGAGCAGAGGCCTGGACCACCAAGCCGGTTCCACCTAACATGCATCAGAGGCAGAGGCCTGGACCACCAAGCCGGTTCCACCTAACCTGCATCAGAGAGCAGAGGCCCTGGACCACCAAGCCGGTTCCACCCTAACCTGCATCAGAGAGCAGAGGCCTGGACCACCAAGCCGGTTCCACCTAACTTGCATCAGAGAGCAGAGGCCTGGACCACCAAGCCGGTTCCACCCAACCTGCATCAGAGAGCAGAGGCCTGGACCACCAAGCCGGTTCCACCTAACCTGCATCAGAGAGCAGAGGCCTGGACCACCAAGCCGGTTCCACCTAACCTGCATCAGAGAGCAGAGGCCTGGACCACCAAGCCGGTTCCACCTAACCTGCATCAGAGAGCAGAGGCCTGGACCACCAAGCCGCTTCCACCTAACCTGCATCAGAGAGCAGAGGCCTGGACCACCAAGCCGGTTCCACTAACCTGCATCAGAGAGCAGAGACCTGGACCACCAAGCCGGTTCCACCTAACCTGCATCAGAGAGCAGAGGCCTGGACCACCAAGCCGGTTCAACCTAACCTGCATCAGAGAGCAGAGGCCTGGACCACCAAGCCGGTTCCACCTAACCTGCATCAGAGAGCAGAGGCCTGGACCACCAAGCCGGTTCCACCTAACCTGCATCAGGGAGCAGAGGCCTGGACCACCAAGCCGGTTCCACCTAACCTGCATCAGAGAGCAGAGGCCTGGACCACCAAGCCGCTTCCACCTAACCTGCATCAGAGAGCAGAGGCCTGGACCACCAAGCCGGTTCCACCTAACCTGCATCAGAGAGCAGAGGCCTGGACCACCAAGCCGGTTCCACCTAACCTGCATCAGAGAGCAGAGGCCTGGACCACCAAGCCGGTTCCACCTAACCTGCATCAGAGAGCAGAGGCCTGGACCACCAAGCCGCTTCCACCTAACCTGCATCAGAGAGCAGAGGCCTGGACCACCAAGCCGGTTCCACCTAACCTGCATCAGAGAGCAGAGACCTGGACCACCAAGCCGGTTCCACCTAACCTGCATCAGAGAGCAGAGGCCTGGACCACCAAGCCGGTTCAACCTAACCTGCATCAGAGAGCAGAGGCCTGGACCACCAAGCCGGTTCCACCTAACCTGCATCAGGGAGCAGAGGCCTGGACCACCAAGCCGGTTCCACCTAGCCTGCATCAGAGAGCAGAGGCCTGGACCACCAAGCCGGTTCCACCTAACCTGCATCAGGGAGCAGAGGCCTGGACCACCAAGCCGGTTCCACCTAACCTGCATCAGGGAGCAGAGGCCTGGACCACCAAGCCGGTTCCACCTAACCTGCATCAGAGAGCAGAGGCCTGGACCACCAAGCCGGTTCCACCTAACCTGCATCAGAGAGCAGAGGCCTGGACCACCAAGCCGCTTCCACCTAACCTGCATCAGAGAGCAGAGGCCTGGACCACCAAGCCGCTTCCACCTAACCTGCATCAGAGAGCAGAGGCCTGGACCACCAAGCCGGTTCCACCTAACCTGCATCAGAGAGCAGAGGCCTGGACCACCAAGCCGCTTCCACCTAACCTGCATCAGAGAGCAGAGGCCTGGACCACCAAGCCGGTTCCACCTAACCTGCATCAGAGAGCAGAGGCCTGGACCACCAAGCCGGTTCCACCTAACCTGCATCAGAGAGCAGAGGCCTGGACCACCAAGCCGGTTCCACCTAACCTGCATCAGAGAGCAGAGGCCTGGACCACCAAGCCGGTTCCACCTAACCTGCATCAGAGAGCAGAGGCCTGGACCACCAAGCCGGTTCCACCTAACCTGCATCAGAGAGCAGAGGCCTGGACCACCAAGCCGGTTCCACCTAACCTGCATCAGAGAGCAGAGGCCTGGACCACCAAGCCGGTTCCACCTAACCTTCATCAGAGAGCAGAGGCCTGGATCACCAAGCCGGTTCCACCTAACCTGCATCAGAGAGCAGAGGCCTGGACCACCAAGCCGGTTCCACCTAACCTGCATCAGAGAGCAGAGGCCTGGACCACCAAGCCGGTTCCACCTAACCTGCATCAGAGAGCAGAGGCCTGGACCACCAAGCCGCTTCCACCTAACCTGCATCAGAGAGCAGAGGCCTGGACCACCAAGCCGGTTCCACCTAACCTGCATCAGAGAGCAGAGGCCTGGACCACCAAGCCGCTTCCACCTAACCTGAATCAGAGAGCAGAGGCCTAGACCACCAAGCCCACCATGCCGGTTCCACCTAACCTGCATCAGAGAGCAGAGGCCTGGACCACCAAGCCGGTTCCACCTAACCTGCATCAGAGAGCAGAGGCCTGGACCACCAAGCCGGTTCCACCTAACCTGCATCAGAGAGCAGAGGCCTGGACCACCAAGCCGGTTCCACCTAACCTGCATCAGAGAGCAGAGGCCTGGACCACCAAGCCGCTTCCACCTAACCTGCATCAGAGAGCAGAGGCCTGGACCACCAAGCCGGTTCCACCTAACCTGCATCAGAGAGCAGAGGCCTGGACCACCAAGCCGCTTCCACCTAACCTGCATCAGAGAGCAGAGGCCTGGACCACCAAGCCGGTTCCACCTAACCTGCATCAGAGAGCAGAGGCCTGGACCACCAAGCCGGTTCCACCTAACCTGCATCAGAGAGCAGAGGCCTGGACCACCAAGCCGGTTCCACCTAACCTGCATCAGAGAGCAGAGGCCTGGACCACCAAGCCGCTTCCACCTAACCTGCATCAGAGAGCAGAGGCCTGGACCACCAAGCCGGTTCCACCTAACCTTCATCAGAGAGCAGAGGCCTGGATCACCAAGCCGGTTCCACCTAACCTGCATCAGAGAGCAGAGGCCTGGACCACCAAGCCGGTTCCACCTAACCTGCATCAGAGAGCAGAGGCCTGGACCACCAAGCCGCTTCCACTTAACCTGCATCAGAGAGCAGAGGCCTGGACCACCAAGCCGCTTCCACCTAACCTGCATCAGAGAGCAGAGGCCTGGACCACCAAGCCGTTTCCACCTGCATCAGAGAGCAGAGGCCTGGACCACCAAGCCGGTTCCACCTAACCTGCATCAGAGAGCAGAGGCCTGGACCACCAAGCCTCTTCCACCTAACCTGCATCAGAGAGCAGAGGCCTGGACCACCAAGCCGGTTCCACCTAACCTGCATCAGAGAGCAGAGGCCTGGACCACCAAGCCGCTTCCACCTAACCTGGATCAGAGAGCAGAGGCCTGGACCACCAAGCCGGTTCCACCTAACCTGCATCAGAGAGCAGAGGCCTGGACCACGAAGCCGGTTCAACCTGCATCAGAGAGCAGAGGCCTGGACCACCAAGCCGCTTCCACCTAACCTGCATCAGAGAGCAGAGGCTCAAATAATCCTTCTGCATCCAGTCTGTGACTCAAACATATCCAGGGTATGTTGAACAGGCTTCGTAGTATACAGGCCTCAGGTCAGAACGCTTTGGAAAGGAATGATTCTCTGTTGCTCTTCATGATGTTAATGTGTATTCATCTTTAGTAAGGGACGTTCAGACTGACCCACGGTGAGGGCGCTGTTTCTCTGCAGCGGGCTGAACGGACAGCGTAGCTTAGCTTTAGCATCGACGAGTCCAACCAGAGAGAAGCTTTCTGCGTCCTGAAGACCAATCACAGAGTCACAGAGTCACTGAGTCACAGAGTCACAGAGTCGCAGAGTCACAGAGTCGCAGAGTCGCAGAGTCGCAGAGTCGCAGAGTCACAGAGTCACTGAGTCACTGAGTCACTGAGTCACAGAGTCACTGAGTCTCTGAGTCACTGAGTCACAGAGTCACTGAGTCACAGAGTCACTGAGTCACAGAGTCACTGAGTCACAGAGTCACTGAGTCACAGAGTCACTGAGTCGCAGAGTCGCAGAGTCGCAGAGTCGCTGAGTCGCTGAGTCGCTGAGTCGCAGAGTCGCTGAGTCGCTGAGTCACTGAGTCACTGAGTCACAGAGTCACTGAGTCAATGAGTCACAGAGTCGCTGGAAGATCCATCATTTATATACAGTAAGTACTCAGATGTCGACTTGTACTAGAGTAAAAGTAGAAGTACTCAGATCTTGTACTAGAGTAAAAGTAGAAGTACTGAGATCTTGTACTAGAGTAAAAGTAGAAGTACTCAGATCTTATATTTACCTTTCCACAAAGTTAAATAATACACAGTACTTGAGGAACTACACGTGGTTATTTTCCACCACCAGCGTTACTGAAGCAGAAAATAAAGTGAGTTTCAGTGATTCACGTACGATGAAGGCGTCGTGGGGGCTGAAGGCGAAGCTGCCGCAGACGTACAGGTGAGACGAGTTCATCTGAGAGAGGACGCTCACGAAGTTGGGACAGTCCACCTGAGAGAGGACAACATGAGGTTAGGACAGTCCACCTGAGAGAGGACAAAAGGAAGTTAGGACAGTCCACCTGAGAGAGGACAACATGAGGTTAGGACAGTCCACCTGAGAGAGGACAACAGGAAGTTAGGATAGTCAACCTGAGAGAGGACAACAGGAAGTTAGGATAGTCAACCTGAGAGAGGACAACAGGAAGTTAGGACAGTCCACCTGAGAGAGGACAACATGAGGTTAGGACAGTCCATCTGAGAGAGGACAACATGAGGTTAGGACAGTCCACCTGAGAGAGGACAACATGAGGTTAGGACAGTCCACCTGAGAGAGGACAACATGAGGTTAGGATAGTCCACCTGAGAGAGGACAACATGAGGTTAGGACAGTCCATCTGAGAGAGGACAACATGAGGTTAGGACAGTCCACCTGAGAGAGGACAACATGAGGTTAGGACAGTCCACCTGAGAGAGGACAACATGAGGTTAGGACAGTCCACCTGAGAGAGGACAACATGAGGTTAGGACAGTCCACCTGAGAGAGGACAACATGAGGTTAGGATAGTCCACCTGAGAGAGGACAACATGAGGTTAGGACAGTCCACCTGAGAGAGGACAACATGAGGTTAGGACAGTCCACCTGAGAGAGGACAACATGAGGTTAGGACAGTCCACCTGAGAGAGGATAACATGAGGTTAGGATAGTCCACCTGAGAGAGGACAACATGAGGTTAGGACAGTCCACCTGAGAGAGGACAACATGAGGTTAGGACAGTCCATCTGAGAGAGGACAACATGAGGTGTAGGACAGTCCATCTGAGAGAGGACAACATGAGGTTAGGACAGTCCATCCTGAGAGAGGACAACATGAGGTTAGGACAGTCCACCTGAGAGAGGACAACATGAGGTTAGGATCAGTCCACCTGAGAGAGGACAACATGAGGTTAGGATCGTCCACTGAGAGGAATAGGACAGTCCCTGAGAGAGGACAACATGAGGTTAGGACAGTCCACCTGAGAGAGGACAACATGAGGTTAGGACAGTCAACCTGAGAGAGGACAACATGAGGTTAGGATAGTCCACCTGAGAGAGGACAACATGAGGTTAGGATAGTCCACCTGAGAGAGGACAACATGAGATTAGGACAGTCAACCTGAGAGAGGACAACATGAGGTTAGGACAGTCCACCTGAGAGAGGACAACATGAGGTTAGGACAGTCAACCTGAGAGAGGACAACATGAGGTTAGGATAGTCCACCTGAGAGAGGACAACATGAGGTTAGGACAGTCCACCTGAGAGAGGACAACATGAGGTTAGGATAGTCCACCTGAGAGAGGACAACATGAGGTTAGGATAGTCCACCTGAGAGAGGACAAACATGAGGTTAGGACAGTCCACCTGAGAGAGGACAACATGAGGTTAGGATAGTCCACCTGAGAGAGGACAACATGAGGTTAGGACAGTCCACCTGAGAGAGGACAACATGAGGTTAGGACAGTCAACCTGAGAGAGGACAACATGAGGTTAGGATAGTCAACCTGAGAGAGAACAACATGAGGTTAGGACAGTCAACCTGAGAGAGGACAACATGAGGTTAGGACAGTCAACCTGAGAGAGGACAACATGAGGTTAGGATAGTCAACCTGAGAGAGGACAACATGAGGTTAGGACAGTCACCTGAGAGAGGACAACATGAGGTTAGGACAGTCCACCTGAGAGAGGACAACATGAGGTTAGGACAGTCCACCTGAGAGAGGACAACATGAGGTTAGGATAGTCCACCTGAGAGAGGACAACATGAGGTTAGGACAGTCCACCTGAGAGAGGACGCTCACGAAGTTAGGACAGTCCACCTGAGAGAGGACAACATGAGGTTAGGACAGTCCACCTGAGAGAGGACAACATGAGGTTAGGACAGTCACCTGAGAGAGGACAACATGAGGTTAGGACAGTCCACCTGAGAGAGGACAAC